ACCCAGAGAAAAGACATCCGACCAAACAGAAAGCCTCAGCCCGGCGTTTACCGATGACTCCGAACCAGAGCAAGCATCCCAACTCGACAATCGCCGACAACCACACCGCACAGCCCCGACCCAACAATCACCGACGACCTCACCATCTACACGCAGCACCGTACCTGAAATTGCCGAATCCGCGACAATTTTATTTAGGCTTATAATATTTTAGATACTTCTATGTAATATTTTATCATGTCATATTCAGAAAACATATTTCATACAAATGTAAACTTTAATTTTTTTAGATAAAAATTTTTTACAAAAAAATTTTAAAAAAATTTAGGTGACTTCACATCTTTTAATAATAATATAGAAAAGTTTAGATAATTTTACATATGTTAATATATATTTTAGGAGTTTTTAATTGTCTAAACATACAAATTTTATGTTCTCTTGAACAAGCTAATTTTATATCGTTTATAATAAACTGATACACAGTAAATTATATGACATGTTAACCCCGCATCGTTAATTTATAAATATTTTTTAATATCGTTTACTCTCATTTTTAATTGATAATATATTTCTTGCTCTTTTAAGAAAAGATCAATAGTGGTTCCCCACTTCTTTCATTGGGTGACTCGAACTCGATACTTATTTATAATTATTATTTAATATTGTTTACCCGTGCATCGCCCGGGATATGCACTAGCATTGTGTTAAACTAATAATTTAATTATTAGTAACTGCAAAAGTTAATACGATAAAAATATCAAATATATTTTTTTACCATAATATGATGTTAAAAAATTAATTTAAATATATTTATATTTCGGTAAGTAATTAATTTGTATCCAATATTGCCAATTTTTTTAAATGAAAAACATATTTGTTTCATTTTTTTCTTAATTTTTAATATATAGGGGGGATTTGCATGGTCGCAAGAATAATCTACAAGCGTGCAGACACACGATCGGAGAAGTGAAATTACACTTTTTACCTTTGCCTTTTTCCACACTTTTAAGTTGAACTTTACTATATTATACTATTGCGAGAAGTACGTACTTTTTAATGTGTGTGATTTTGTGAACTTTTCACGAGAAAAATCACTTCAGTCAACGGTTCATTAATATAAGCCAAATATTCAATAGATTGATTAAGTATGAAAAAACTTCTCAATTATTTTACACAAAAATTCTATGGAGTTATCGGATGGTTTTTTTATGGAGTCATCTACCAGTTAA